AGGGCTGGCTGGGAGGGAGACCTGGGGGAGTGGGACTAGCTGGGGGAGAACCAGCTGGCGGGGAGCAGGGCTGGCCAGGGGAGATTTTTTGGGGGGAAGCAGCCAGCTGAAAGCAAGGCTGGCCAGGAGGGGGTTGGAGGGAGCAGGACTGGCCCAGGGGGCAGGGAGGGGGAAGGAATTGGCTGGGGGGGGGCAGATCCCAGGGTGCTACTCATCCCGCACACGGTCCCCTCCTCCTCCCCCTCTACTGCGTAGTTGCGTACTGCCTGGCTGGTAGCCATGCTAACGCAGTGTGAGCGCGTCTGCCAGCCAGGCTGGACGCAGCTACGTGCTGATCCTCCTAATGATAAAACTAACTTCGTTAGAAAATACCAGACATTTCTATGTCCGATATTTTCTCAGTTTATTTACCGGACAGAAAGCTCAAACACCGGACTGTCTGGTTCAAAACCGGACACCTGGCACCCCTACCCGGAGCACCCCAGCAGTTTGCTCTGCTCCGCCCTGCCACCCTCTCCCAGCCAGAGTGCTCCGTGTCTCTGCAGCACAAGGAAGCAGAGCGCCTCAGCCCCAAATCACTCTGCTTCCCGCCGCGGAGAAACGGGGTCTAAAGGGGTGGGGTGGGTCGGGGCTTGGGAAGGGCGGGGCTTGGGAAGGGGTGGGGCAGGGCGGGGCTTGGGAAGGGGTGGGGCAGGGCGGGGCTTGGGAAGGGGTGGGGCAGGGCGGGGCTTGGGAAGGGGTGGGGCAGGGCGGGGCTTGGGAAGGGGTGGGGCAGGGCGGGGCTTGGGAAGGGGTGGGGCAGGGCGGGGCTTGGGAAGGGGTGGGGCAGGGCGGGGCTTGGGAAGGGGTGGGGCAGGGCGGGGCTTGGGAAGGGGTGGGGCAGGGCGGGGCTTGGGAAGGGGTGGGGCAGGGCGGGGCTTGGGAAGGGGTGGGGCAGGGCGGGGCTTGGGAAGGGGTGGGGCAGGGCGGGGCTTGGGAAGGGGTGGGGCAGGGCGGGGCTTGGGAAGGGGTGGGGCAGGGCGGGGCTTGGGAAGGGGTGGGGCAGGGCGGGGCTTGGGAAGGGGTGGGGCAGGGCGGGGCTTGGGAAGGGGTGGAGCGGGGTGGGGCTTGGGAGTGGGTTGCCTGTGCTGGGAGTGGGTTGCCTTGTGTCCCACACCCCCCCAGGGGTGGCCCCAGTAAGAGGATCTTTATGGGCATGAGTACTGCAGGATTGGACCTTCCATCTGGGGCGATGTTTTTGAAGGTGCCCAAGTGACTAACACGCCTAAAGCCAAGGCCTCGACGTCACCTGGAGCCCTTTGAACACTGTCACTGATGTCTTTTTCACAATGTAACCCTTTCATCCTGCTCAGTCCTGGCTGAGGGAGCTCACTGGGGCCCTTTCCACCTCTGCGCGCTGTTACCAGACTTGCCCAGTACTCTGGGGTATGCTCATTTATTAGGGTTACTCTTATGGGACTGGGGGGAGGTTCACAATTCTATCAGTGTGCTGCTTGTGCTACTTGTGCTCTCATATGGAGCTGAATTCTCTCTGCTGCCAATTCCCCCTCCCATTGGAGCTCTCCTGCAGGAACTAGGTTCCTCAGGACGGGGTTCTTCCCACCTTAGCGACGCACACAGACACTCACACCCACTACCAGAGCACATCTCAGAGGACTGGGTAATCAGCACTCACACGCTGACCCCTCATATGTCTCTGGATTCAGCAGGCTGGGTTTCACAGCAATGCCCCCCTGCACCCTCATCTGCCTTTGGACTCAGTGGGCTGGATTAAACAGCACTTTTAGCTGCCATCCTCATGCGCCCGCAGGTTCAGCACCCCCTGTCCCCACTTTCACACCACAGTCATTCACTGGTAATCCACACGATGAACAAACCCCACAGGATTTTGGGCACTACAGGGATCTTTAGCTTGGATACAAGAAGCGTTGTTGCAGAGCGAATGGGGAAGCCAAAACAACACCCCTTGAGGAAGAGTGAGCAAAAGAAAGAAAGAGAGAGAAGCAACCAGCTTAACAATGAAAGTGATTTATTATATATATAGGGCTCCAAACACACAAAGCAGTTACAATATTAAATCTAAATTGAAACTGATTACAAATGTTAGGGTTAGCTAACCATGTAACAGTTTACCTAGGGCAGAGCCAGTAGGCTATGCTTGGGGAGAGGAGAGGAGGGAAAGGAAAAGAGAGAGAGAGAGAGAGACCTCACCACTCTGTGGAGCTTGCACTGATCGGGGTTCCCAGGGGGTGATGGGAGCTGGGGGTCCAGAGGGCAGGAGACAAGCAGAGAAGAGCCCTTGGCACAATCAGACAGGAGATGAAAAAGTCTCAGTGGAACCAATGCAGTTTAAATCCAGGTATCAGAATAGTTTTTCTTGGGCAAGGGTAGGAGTTATTGTAGGGGCAGAATAACAGTTGGAGGAGGACACCAGATTTGTTTATGGGTAAACAGAGGCGAGACAATAGAGACTGATCACACCTGGTTATGGGTGATGTTCCTTGAAGGCGCTCTCAATGCAAGGAGGCAGTTTCAGTATTTTGGATGCCAATAGGATCCATTACTAGATTGGTCTGATAATGACTAATTTGGGTGTGAGCAGGCCTGGGTTCATTACCATCTGGAGCAGAGATTTCCCATCAGGCAGTGCTTCTCTGCTTTCGGTATCCCGTAGTTCGTGCGGTTCCTGCTTTGGAAGAGCATGGTCTCCAGGAGTGTCACTCCCTGGCTCTCCAAGAGCACAGGGCTGGTAGGTAACAGTGCTTTTGGAGTGCCAGCCGGGGGCTGCTTCTGGGGCTGGCTCACTCGATCACAGCGCTGCATGTTTGCCCTCCCAGGGGTTAGCGGGGTGCCCTGTGGAAAAAACACCGCGGGGGCCCCTGCCGCTAAACGGCGGAGCCAGCCCTCGGCCTGTGTCCTTCTCGGAGTCCTGACAGCGACCCAAAGTGTAGGCACATCCACGCTGCCGAGCCAGGGCACCGCGCGGTTGCCGCTGGGGAGCAAAGCTCACATCTCACTGCAGGGGAGAAAGCCTTCAGCTCCTCCCCAGTGAGGCGGGCCCTGGCTCTAGGACGCTGGGCCCGACCACGACAGCAGGTGGCCGGGCGCATCCCAGCGAGACGTGGCCCCAGGACAATGTGCCCCTGCCTATGTGTGTGCTGCATGCCAGGTTCCTGTGCCCGGCGGGTACAGCATGCGCCGGGCTGGCTCCGTAGGAGCGTGTTCCAGAGGCGCTGACTGCCGGGCACAGCCCCGCCTCCCCTCTGCACCTGGCGCCGCGACTGTTTCTTCACTCGCGGCATCGCTGCCTCTCGCAGGACAGTCACGGTGGTTCTGGTCGCCATCAGCGTGGTCTGGATCCCCATCCTGCAGAGCTCCAGCGGCGGCCAGCTCTACATCTACATCCAGTCCGTGACCAGCTGCCTCGCCCCGCCCATCACGGCTGTGTTCGTCCTGGCGGTGTTCTGGAGACGAGCCAATGAGCAGGTGAGCTCAGTACCTTTTTGCCAGGCCCCCTCGGGGTCCTTTTAATGCCAGGGCAGAGCCGCCTAGATGTCACGACTGGAAGGGACCCTTGTGGTCACCTAGCCTGACCCACCACATATCACAGGCCAGAAACCTGCCCTATGGATTCGCGCGCCAACCCCACAGCTTTTGGTGGAGTCAGTGAGCCGGGGGGCTAGGGGAGGGTGGTGCAACCTTTGCTCATTGAGGACAATTTTGAAGGGAGGAGCAGACCCCTCGGTGTTCTGGAGACGTTCCATGGACCACTGGTTCCATGGACCGCAGGTTGTGAACCTCTTCTCTTGTAGAGCTGGCCCGTCTTACCTGATAGCAGCTTTCAAGTACCTAAAAGGGTGTTACAAGGAGAAGGGAGTAAAATTGTTCTCCTAGGCCTCTGATGTTGCAACGGGCTTAAACTGCAGCAAGGGAGGTTTAGGTTGGACATTAGGAAAAACGTCCTGCGTTTCAGGGTGGTTATGCACTGGAATAAATTGCCCAGGGAGGTTGTGGAATCTCCATCTCCGGAGATATTGAAGAGCAGGTTAGACAGACACTGGTCACAGGCTGGGGACTACTTCCGGCCTCCTCCCCCATGGGCAGGTGAAGCGTGTCCCTCCCAAAGCTGCTCTTACTCAGGCTGGGGGCAGTGCCGCAGGAAAGAGGAAGGGCAGTGGCAGGGCCTGTGGCCCCTGAACCGGTCCCTTCTGGCCTTAAACCCTACAATGCTGGCATCATAGCTACATGGTCTAGATCTAGATCCGGTCTAGTCCGTTCCAGTTCTAGAATTCGATGATTCTGTGTGACTCCCGTTGCTATGGAATTCCAGTGCATGCTGGCCTGTCCCTTGGGGAAACCTTGGGTCAGGCCCTGTTTCCGGTCACAAGGGAATATCCGTTTGGTCCAGGCATGACTCCTCAGGCTGGCACCTGCCCAGCAAGGGGCAGTACCAGCGCTCTTTGTGGAAGGAGCCTTTCGCCTAAACTGAGAGCGTCTCCCTTTCCTCTGAAGAATCAGGCACTGGACATGGCTGGGGGCAGAGGACGGGCTTGAATGGGCCAGTGGCAAAGTTCCCTCTAATTATTTTCCATTCATGTGCGGAATTAATTTTGTTCCGTGCGCCAGTTCAAGGTAACGTGTGGATGTGCATCAGCCATAGACACAAAACACCTCCAGCGAGGCATTCTAGAACTCCTTACTCAAAGAATTAAATTGAAGTGTAAGAGGAATACAAATTACGAAACGCCTCGTGTTAGTCAAAAAACCACAACAACACACATTGAAAGAAGCATCAAGGAACAACAATAATAATACAAGTAGGTGTTGGGAGGTGAGTGTGAAAGACGGAGCATGTGTGTGTGTCAGAGACACACTGTGTGTGTTTGTGTGTGGGCCTGACAGAGACCCACAATGTGTGTGTGTGTGTGTGTGTGTGTGTGTGTGAAAGAGAAAGTCACTCGTGTGTGTGCGTGTGAAAGAGAAAGTCACTGTGTGTGTGTGTGTGTGAAAGAGAAAGTCACTTCCATGTGTTTGTGTGTGTGTGTGTGACAGCAAGAGAGAGGCGCTGCCCCTTTAAGTACAGTGTCCCTTTCAATAGATTGGCACTCACCAGTCTGAAGGAGCCTGTTCAGACACAGCAAGGGCTTGCTAGCAAGCTCCCTCCCTCCCGAGCCCTGTCCTGCCTCCACACCTGTTGAGCTGGGACAGGGGTGGCGCACCCTGACATCAGTGCTGCCCCCCACCCCCTGTACCCCACAGAAAGCAGGAGGCTGCCGGGAGCAGCTGGCCCAGCGCCCC